GGTGTTACTATGCACATTTAAAAGAGTAAGAGGACAAGGTCGTGGAAGCAGGAGTGATTTGGCCAGTCACGTAGCAGGTAAGGGGCAAAGCTGGGACTCAGACTCAGGTCTTTGGAGTTCAAGTCCAATTGGGCTGTGCAGTTCACCCCAAAGACCGTTCAAGTCTATCATCCTCTGTCTTTTAAAGTAGAATCTTGGAGCAAAGTAGTAACGCAAAATGAAAGTGCAATATGAAAAATATTAGTCAGGATAGGATAGATGTGTATAGGATAGATGGGCGAGAGAAGGGAGAGCTGGGGGCTCTGACAGATGGCAATAATGGCGAAATGACTGCACTTGATAACACCCCGAATAAAAAGGTATGGAAAAAAGGGAGAAGAGAGATGACTCAGGTTGTCGAGCTATGTGGCCGTGAGGATGCTGTTTGGGACACTGGAGACGTGGGCAGGGGTGAGTTAGAGGGGGCAGGACAGCATTCACGTGGGCATCACGGTCATGTAGTGAGTACGTCTGAAGGCACCGGCAATATGGCACCAGAAGTCCAAGGGGACATTTGGGCTGAGGGAGACCTAGGATTCCCCCCCAGTGGGTGGAGCTGGGAGAGGAAATGAGCTTGCCTGCGACACCTGTGCTTAATAAACGTAATTTAACTTGTGCCTGATTTAAGCGGAGGAGGGGGCTTGTAGCATTTATTTATAGAAGGCATGGAACCTGAGGATTTGGGAGCCACCCACCAGCATTCAGATACTGACCCCACAGAGGAAAATGGCACCATCCTACGAAACTTCTCAGGGACCATGATCTGAAGCAGCGAGATGCCTTCTTACTCTGAGCATGGCATTCCGGTGACCTTCACACTCCAGGGTTCAGGATACAGCTCCCTGTGGGGATGGGACACTGAGACATGGCCATGGGAACTGCGTGGGTTCCAGGGACACAGTGGTACAGCAAAGCAGGACATACATTATCAGCTTGGTGTCTGGGGTCACCAGTGCCTGGGTCTGGGGACCAGAGGGGAGCAGGAACCCACCGTGCATATAAGTCACCCCATATCCCATAGTGACCTTTAATTCCCTTTCGGGGTTTTATCCCCATTATCCCTGGGCACAGTATCAGTTCTCCCTGTTATAGGTTGAATTGTGCCCTCCTTCCCCACAAAAATGTATCTGTTAAATCCTTCCCCCAGGACCTCAGAGTGTGACTGTATGTGGAGACAGGGTCTTTACAGAGGTAATTAAGGTGAAATAAAATCAATCGGGTGGCCCCGATCCGAGACGACTGGTGTTCATGTACAAAGAGGAGATGAGGACATAGACATGTTACAGAGAGGAGACCACGTGAAGACATGGGAAGAGACAGAAAGAGAGAGGAGGACTCAGGTGGAACCAACCCTGCCAACACATTGACCTCAGGCTTCCAGCCTCCGGAGCTGGGAGGCTATAATCGTCTGCTGTGAAGCCCCCCAGATGGGGCCGCCTAAGCCAGCCCATTCATTACCCCTCCCTCTGATCCTTGCCCACAGGGAAGCCCAGCTGCCCTTTTCTACCCATTCAGAACCTGCAGCTGACCCTCAGCATCTTAATATTCCGTTCAAAAGATAAGACAAAACTCACTGTTGTCTCTCCTCTCTCAGACTCCTCTTTCACTTCTGGTCTGATCTGCCATCAGCACCTTCTCACGAGGTCCGTTCTCATTCTCTCATTTCTAAGCCACTCTGGTGTGTGCTGTCCCGGCCACCATTCATTAGCGTGTGTCTTTTCCCCCAGGCTCGTAGCTCCAGGGCAGGACACCTGAGTCCACCTCCCTTTTGTCCTCCCATCACCCAGCACAGCGCTGGGCCGGACACCCCAGGTTGTAAAACCTACCCTTGCAAAGGCGACAACTGGCTAATGGCCTTGAAATTGTATCTGCCCAACTGTTCACTGAAAATGACACCACCATTCAACTTTCCCTCCAGAGCTCAAAAGCCCATATATTTAGTGCAGCAGCGTTGAGGAGAAACATGGGAGTCTATTTTAAACATCCATTTGTGTTCCTATTTAAGGGGTTTTAAAATGTGAAGAGGGTCTGCCCTCTTTGAAAATACGTAGCAGCTTTTCCAGCTGGGACCCTGCTAGTGTGGTTACTAAGGAGACCAGTTGGCTGTAGGTGCCGTGATTAATCACTAAATTCTGAGCAGCCAAGTCCCTGGTGGTGAGGGGCTCTGTGGTTTGAGAGGGAGAAGTGCTGGGTGGGTGGAGGGTGGAGGAGTTCACCGTGGGAGTCCAGCTCTGGCTGCCTCCTTCCCTCTCGGCTGAAATTTGCTGGTGGCTGTTTTAAGAGCAGCTAAGTCTGCCTCCAAGCTGACCTGTCCGAACCGAAGGGTGTGGGATTCTTGCAGCCACCCTGGCTCCAGCCCCTTGATTGTAAGAGGACAGCAAGCTGGGGTGAGCAGAGGTGAGCTGCACTGGACTAAAGCTGGGTGACCTTTCCTCTCGGAAGGGTTGAATAACTGTGTCCTATCGGTGAGAAGAGCAGAGGGCAGCGTGCTGCTCCAAGACCAGTCCCCGCCCCGAGGGAAGCCCGCCGGCCTCACGGTGCTGGGATTCGGCTGCAGAGTGCTAAGGAGAAAGCCTTTACGTGGCCACGAGCCCCACAGTCTGCACCCCGGCTAGTTCGCTCCTGCTGTTCTGAGAGGCAATGTTCTCACCCAGCCCCAACACACACACACACACACACACACACACACACACAACTGTGGCCGTGAACTCCCCCCTGGGCTCGCTCCTGCCCTCCCCTCCAGGCGTTACAGGAGACTGCCCCACACAAAATGCAGCTTTGTACCACCCAAGGGGGGCTTCCAGCTCGTTTGGTTCCATTCTTCCATTCGGTAAATGAGAAAAGTTTAGAGAAGTTAAGTGACTTTTCACTCCTGCTTTTTCTTCCCCTCAACTGCAAGGGAGGAAAAGCATTTGGCCGTCGAACATCCCGGAAATAACTAGGTGCTCAAAGGCAGGAGATTATTTAAGATGCTTTTCTATCGTGTGTAACAGAAAACTCGAATAAGTGGCTTCAACAAAATGTGGGGGGGTGAAAGTTAGGAATGGCTCCAGTGAACAGCCTTGTGGTCTCCACCCAACCTAGCTCTGGACTGGCCTTACGGCTGCCTTTAGCCAATAAATGCAAGAAAAGAAAAGGCTTAGGTCTCCAGAGATTCTACATGCTCCTGCTCGGTGTCCTGGCTCGTGCTCACACCTCAGCCTTGCTGTGAGATCACACCAAACCAGCCTGCGGAAGGGGTGTGAGAGATAAGACACAGGAAAGAGAACCAAGGTGCCCCCAGCCGGCAGCCGGCTAAGCTGCAGCTGACTGCAGATTCACGGGGGAGTCTAACTGAGACCAGAAGAACTGCCCTGCTGACCCCAGGCTAAACCACCAACTGCAGTAGCACCAGCCAAAGAAGTGGTTTGTTGTTTAAGCCTCAGACTTTGGTGTAGCTTGTTACAAAGCAACAGCTAACTGAACCGTAACTGCTAAGTGAAATAAATCTTTTGAGTTTTTTCTCTTAAAAAATAGTTGGAGGTTGGAAATCCAAGATCGGTGTGGCAGCTCCATAGTCATCGAGGTCCCAGAATCCTTCTATCGTTATGCACCATTGTCTTTAGTCCATGCTGTTTCATGATCCAAGATAGCTGCTGGAGCTCCAGCCATCATATTTGTGTTCCAGGCAGGAAGGAAAGAGGGCAAATAAGGGGCTTCTTCTAGTTGAACTGTCCCCCTTTAAAAGAGCTTTCTTAGAAGCCCCACCCAATGACTAGCAGCTTGATTCTCATTGGCTACTCGTGGCTGCAAGGAAAGCTGGGAAAAGTAGCCTTTTAGGGGAGCTCATTGCCACCTAGAATAAAATCAAGGGTACTGTTCGGTAAGGAAGAATGAGGGAATGGGTGCTGAGTAGGCAGCCAGCAGTATCTGCCACAGTATGTGTCACAGCAAGCTCAGGCCCCAATAGACATCAGCATGACCACATGTCACGCTGATTTCTCAGAGTTCATAGTGGTGGCTTTGACCTGTAGTAACGAAGTGTAAGATTTGGGCGTAGAGACCTAAGTGGAAAATCAAGAGTATGCTGGTCTCCTGGACCCTTTGGTTGTGATTCCACATAGAAGGGAAGTTTTATTCTTAGAACACCTTGCTCTTAACCTGGAGCGGCTTTTGCTTGCTGTTGCCTGCTGTCTTCCTTTTTTTTTTTTTTATAAAGATATAATTCACCTAACATAAAATTCACTATTTCCAAGCACACAGTTCAGTGCTTTTTAGTATATTCACCGTGTTGTGCAGCCATCAGCAATATCTAATTCCAGAACATTTCCATCACCCGAAAAGAAACCCCATACCCAACAGCCGTCAGAGTGGATGTTTTTAATCCTTCTCCACCCAGTCTCAGGTTGATGAGAGAGCCGAACTTGCCACGTAAGACGGAGGAGTTTTTAAGATTCTCCAACAACCTAGGCCCAAACCCTGGGTTTCTGGAATATTGGTGGATCTTCTTAGGTGAGCTAAGGAGAAGGCCATGGTGCAATTCACCCACAGCAAGGAAAAGAGGGGTCCCCAAGAATACTACAGAATCTAAATATTCCCTGCCTGGGCTGACCGTGAGCTAGCTACACTGAGTGGCGGGGGCATCTTCAAAAGCTTCCAGGACTCCGAGGCACTTGGTGGTGATGCCCTAAAGTATAGTAGAAGCTTTAATAGCTCCCTGTTGTGACCACAGATGTTGACAGGGTATTTTTAGATTCAGTTGGTGTTATTTAACATGAAAGGATGGAGAGGATGCAGAACTCACATTTATTAATAGGTGCCAAAGATGAACAGAATATTGTTTTTCTACCACCACCATCCTGGAAGGCGTTATACCCATTTTACAGAAGGAGCACCCAAGGTTTGCAAAGAGAAGTAACTTGCTCAAAGCAGAATTTCAGACAACATCCTGAGTCTAAAATCTAAGCGTCTTTCATTGTGCTGGGCAGCAGGCACCTCTGGTGTGGCTCCGGACCTAGCCCGTGGCAGGTGGAGCCACTCCACGGAGCGGCCTAGTTGTTGCCGCCTGTTGGGTGGTGACAGGAGGAGGGGGCTCATCGGAGCTCGGCTCTGGGCTTCTCTGTGCCGGTGGGAGCTCCCCTCCCTTCTGCTCGCTCCCTGTTCTTCATTCCTCAGGCGAAAAGGTTGCTCAAGGAGACTCCAGGACTGGGGTCTGCCTCGTCACTGTCACCAGGAGCCTTTTTTCCTTCCTGACTTGCCAGAGCTCCCCGTCAGTCCTCACAGCGCCTCTGGAAGCAAAGGGAAGGCAGCTGTGGGATCCTGGCTGAGCAGAGTCCAGGTAAAGCAGGCTTGGGAATGGACTGGTGGGGAGGTTGGGATGTCACAGGTCTGAGCACAGAGCCAGGGGGGTGGGGAACAGCCAGGAAGGATTGTAGGTTCTGCTGCTCGCTTGATTAAGGGGGTCAGCGTGTGTATGTGTCATCGAGGTGGGCAGGGAAGGGGAGGGCTGTGCGTGGGGGGTGGGGGGAGGATATATAGGCTGGTGTGGCTGATACAGCGGAACTGAGCCTCGCATCTGAAGGAGCCCGGCTACTGACAGCTCCCAGGTAGGCAACTGCACGCGAACCCCAGCCCCAAGACACACTGCTGGGAGCCTCGGGAAGGAGCAGGGCGTCAGGGCTCTCTCCCCAGCCCCTCTCCTTTGTCCAGGGTGGCTGCTGCTGGCCTCCCGTGAGGTTATTCCTTCATTTGTCTTATTTTCCGTGCTCGGATGGGAGGGTAGAGAGGGGAGGGCTGAGGCTTTTATCCTGAAGAGAGATGCAGAAGAGCTGAACTTGGAAATGAGGAAAAGTTTGGATTCCCCAGATGTAGCCCCTACTTGGTCACTGCTGCCGGTTGAGAAAAGCTGGTTATAGGAGTGAGGAGAGGGGAGGGGCAGGCACTTGGAGGCGGGGGACTTGCATTTCCAGGCAGCCCTCGGGAAGCCCCCACCCCTCCAGGCACCTTTGTGAGTGGTTTCTCCCTGTGGCTGACTTCCCTTTCATGGTGCGTTCAGCCTGGTTTTCAACGTATCGCTGAACTTGACTTGGATTTGGGTTTTTCATCCTGAGGGGACCCTGCTCCCCGAGGCACGGAATACAAATCGCTAGTAATGATGTGGGGGGAAAGTCAGACCCAGGCGTTTTATGCTGCTGAACGGGGTCGCTGTGTGTGAACTGCACGCAGATTTCTGCAGGGATGACCTTGGTCTCCCAGACCCTGAATCCTTTGGAGGGTTCCTCTCTTTCTTTGCATCCTTCTCCTCCTGCCCATCTCTTCCACCTAAAGGTCTCCACCCGCGTCCGGTGGAATACGACGTTCAGAAGTCATCCAAACTCTCTCGCTCTCGCCCAGCCTCCTTTTTCCGCTTTCTCTCTTTGTGCGTCTGTCTCTCCCCCTGCGTGTCTTGCTTCCCCTCCCGCCGCTACCCACCCCCTCCTCCCCCATCTCATTCTGAACATGGGCAAGTTCTGGGGGGAATTTCAAGTAAGGCAGGATGATTCGGGAAACGGACTATTTAAAGCAAGCTGCTTTGGACTTGAATACCCTGCTCCTGGGCTCCAACATCTGTGTTTCGCTTCCTCTCGAGCAGCCCATAATTGCCCCAATTATAACCAATAACATTGTTCGGCAGACTAACAAAAGATGAGCTTTGCATGGCATTCGCCAGCAAGCCTAAACCAGACTCTTCAACATAGAGTGGGGGGGACAAGTAACTGCCTGGCTTCTCATCAAAACCTCCTAAAGAAATCACTGCTCTTTCTCACTGCCTGTGGGTGGCTGCTGCAGGCACACTCCTCGTTCTCATTTGTAAAGTGTGACAGGGAAAAGGTCTGCACGCTTCCACGGGTGCTGTGACACCTTACACAGAAAGCATTCGTGTTCCTCTGGCTGAGTCTTCTGCAGGGGAGGGTCCCTGGGAAGACGGCCCCCAACCACCACCTTGGGAAAAGGAGCCGCTTCCACTGTTCCATGTGCTGCCCGTCGAGGGCGCTGTGATGCATCCGGGGTCGTTGAGGGGTGGGGGGTGCAGTTCTGTTCTTTGAAGGGCAGCAGCTCTGGCTTTGTCAGCTGAAGGCTGAGGGTACTGGGGGATTTAGGGGGGGCAGGAGATTTTGCATTGTCAACGAAGAGGGTAATTGCAAGATTAGGCTCAAATCGGTGCTTTCTGGAGCCCAAGACAGGAACTATCACGAAGCTATTATTCTGTATTCCATCAATCAGGTATTTATCATCTACACTCCACTAGGCAGGGGAGGCGCGCAGGGGCTCCGATGGATCTGATAGAGGTGATAATAGCAGCTCTTTACATTAGTACAACGATTTACATCTTAGCGCTTTCACACCCATTATCCCCTTCAACAGCCCTGCAAGAGATGGTGTCATTATCTCCATGTTGCCAGTGAAGAAACTGAAGCTGAGAGGTTAAATAATTTGTTAAGGACATGGCACAGATGGGACTGAGTCCAGCCTTGTTCGCTCCTGGGCATCGCCCACCCTCTTGGGGCCAGGGGTGCTTAAAAACTAACGGGGGTTGGGGTGAGGCAGCAAACACCGTGAAGTAGCTGGAGGACGGGCCAAGCTGGGTGTAGTTAAGTCCTGAACTGCGTGGTCCAGGCAGCAAGTGCTGGAGGAGTCTGGGGGAAGGCGTGCTTGCTGCAGAGATTCCAGGGGTTCAAGACAGGCGGGGAAGGAGGTGGAATCTTGGTGGGCCAAGGGCTTTGGAAAGGGAGGTGGCAGCAGGGACAAAAGCCACAAAAGGAGGGCAGAGGAATGAACGTTTATTGAAACTTACTGTGTGCCAGGTAGTGAGCTAAACATGTCCATATGCTCATTTCATGCTAATAACACACGGACAGTAAGGATGTGAGGTTTAGGGTGAGTGTTCTATGCTTTTATCCACACAGTTCAGTGAGCCTTGCCCCACAGCTCCCACGAAGGAAATCTACCTGTTTTGAATCTGGGTGGAACTACTCATCAGATATTCCAGGGAGGGGATGGGCCCCTCCCAGAGAACAGGAGTCATCGTGACGACAGCCTGCAGTGGCTTGAATGGCTGGGAGCTCATCAGGCAGACTGGGGGTTCTCAACGCCTCTATTTCCATGCCTGCGCGTCCTCTCACTATACGACATGAATGAAGCTTTCCTCTAACCACAAACTAGCTATAAGATTCAGGGCACACCAATTTGGGGGGCAATTTGGTTTTCTGGGCATCTCCCTAAATGGCCGAGGATTACATTTCCTCTTGGTTTTCCGTGATCCTGTGGTTTTTTTCCAAGCACCGGCTTCTGCCTTCCGTGTTGCAGAAACACAGTATCGCCAGTTCTGAAGGGCCTGGCTCGGCGGGTGATGTGCAGGGCTGGCCTCTGAGGGGTCCTGGGTCTCGGTCACCACCAAAATGTCAGCGCAACACCACCCCACCCCCAGGGCTCTGCCTTCCCTCCACCAGGGTTCAGAGCCAGCCTCCCCTGGGCTCACGCTAATCCTGTGCTCCTCCCCCGCCCACTCCCCATTCATCCTTTAGTTCATTCAGCGGAGAAACGTGTGCGGTGTTCCTGATAGGAGCCCGCAGTGCTGAGCGCCTGGAAAATAGACCCAGCAGCCTGTCCCCAGCTTCCTCAGAGCTCAAGGCCAGTGTCATTAGATGTTAAGGAGTCTCGGCCAGTGGATCCAAAAGGGTCCACTGGGCTCTGGGAAACTGAGGCTTAATTTTTTATGTTATCTTTCTTAATTTACACCTTAGTGGGTTTTACAATGTATATAACTTATCAATAAATTAGAAAGGTGGGCTCAAAACTGTTTGATTGCCGGAGGTATAAAGTTAAAGAAGTCTGAAGATTTCTAGTCTAGACCCATTGCTCTTTTGCCTGTCTGCATTTTCTAATCTTTCTGAAAGGAACATTAAGTGATTTTATTCTCAAAGTAAATAAAAGCTTTTAAAAATCCATTTAAATTACTTTGACCTTGTATGGGGAACCATGGTCCAGAATCAGGAAGATCCAAGTTAAGAGTGATACCTCTCCAGGCTTGTGACGGTGCCAACAAAGTGTCTGTTGCCCACCCCACCCCACCCCCCAAAAGAAACCATCACCCTGCAGGCCATCTCCTGAGCCCCAGCTGGGCTGTTGTAACAAGTATCTGGCCACTACTAAAATCAAAAATAGTAACCATCTAGTCCAACTGTCTCTTTTTTGGAGAAGGGGAAACTGAGCCCTAGGGAAAGAAAGCGCCTTGGCTCAGGATCCCACAGGTAATGGCAGAGCCGGGGCTGGAACCGAGGCCTCTTGCTCACTGATGGCCCACCAGCTCCAGGCACACCCGTCTGTGTAGGGAGGGGACTTGCTTTGCCCCTCCCCTCTGCCTCGCCCCTCCTTCCAGGTGGAAATTGAGAGCAGGAGAGGGACCTTTCTGGAGGTAAGCATATTAGGCAGAGGAGAAAAAAACTAAAAGAGCCTCAGTCATAGCTGGTGAAGAAGGAGAACTCAGTGCAGGGGTCGTATCCACATGGGATGGAGACATGGGGCGTGTGGAAGACAAATCCCTGTAATGGGCAATGAAAAGTTCCTCCGGAAACTGAAGAAAGGCAAAAATAGAGGGAGTCATCAGAGAAGGGGACCCCCAGAGTTCAGGACAAAAGGAGGTCCTTAGAATGACTTCGCCTACCCGAAGACAGACAGACAACTGCCGAGAGCACTGGGAGGTCTGGTGAGAGCAGGAGCTTAGGAATCAGATGGGTGGGAGTCTTAGCTCTTCCAGTCCCCATTATTTCCCCTCTTCCAGCCTCAGTCTTCTCAACTGTAAAGGGGGGACAACAGCACATACTCCAGAGGATGGATGCTTATAAAGCAGTCAGCACAATGCCTGGGACAGAGGATGCTAAGTATAATAATAATAGTTGGATTACTTTTAAATACAAGCAGATTCGACCAGAATTCACCAACCCGTCTAAAGCAGGACCAACGTGTAGAGCTTATGGTTTCCCAGAACACATGTTTTAGAGTCAAAACACCTGAATTTAAGTCCTGGCTCTTTCATAAGCTGGATGATCTAAAGCAAGTTGCTTAACCTCTCTGAACATACGTTCATCTCAAAAAGGGGGATAATATTAACCCTAGACTATAGGGTTGAATAAAAATATAAAAACTCTTTTGTAACCTGCAAGAAAGATATATCTACACATGCAATTGATGAGAAAGAGAGGACAGACATGCCTCTAGGAGAAAGGCTGGTCCCTCTTCCCTTCTCCACTAAATGCACTAAAATTACAGGCTTTCTCATAGGTCATAAGTCAAAACTCAATTAACTTTTAGCTTCAGCTAAAGCTTCACATGTAATCCTCCAAACAGATAAGCAACTAATTATATTGCCTCAGAAGCAAGATTACATGCAAATAGATTAAAGCTAAACACAGCGGTAGTTTTATCTTTATAAAGAGTGAGGTTCAATTAAATTTATGAGGTGTTATTACTGAAATAAAAGGTAGTTAAACATTTCTTTACTCAAGACGAGATGTCCAGATTATAGCATCCCCACACAGGAGTGCGAGCTGAGTTTGGTTCACTAAGTGAACACGAGCCATGCAAAATTCAAAATTACTCAGGGAGATTGTACTGACTGATGGTTTCTATTGTACAAACAAACAAACAAAACAACAACCAAAACTGTTGTTAGACCCCATTTTGTAGGTGGGAAGACTGACGCTCTCAGAGGTGAAGTAACTTGCCCAATGTCACACAGTTACAAAGTGTAAAGACCAAACATAACTATAACTTGAGAATTAATAAATTACTTGCCTTCATTTAATCGGCGTTTGCTGATACACAGAACTACAAAGAAAGCACACAGATGTCGTCAAGACTTCTCAAAAATGAAAAACTTCTACTGAATTTTCAATAGTTTAAAATCTAACTTCACCTAGAACACAACTGTACCAGAGGTGAAGGGGTACCTAAAAGGACAAAATGGGGTCCCTTTTACAGGGATAATTACATATATCTTGAGCTTTTATTTATATGAATCTTATTTAACTATTATAAACCACGTGTGAGGTTGGACTAGGTGGTCATTCTCATTTTAAGGATTCTCTGAATTGCAGAGGAAAATGAATAGCCCTGAGTAATAAATGGTTTTTAATGAATAGATGGAGTCACTTGTTAAAAGTGAGGGGTAGAAACCTCTGGCTTCTTTTTACAGGATAAATGCCCCCTGGCATTGGTCAATCTATCTGTTTCAGTGCAGATGGAACATTCTTAAGAAAAAGAAATAAAAACTTCAGCCTGCAGCATCAATTACTCTTTATAAACTCATGCTAATTCATAAACAAGGATAAGAAGGAACCACTTCTCCCAACACTGAATTGCTTCCAAGTGCTTTTCATTAAAACCTAAGTGAAAACACTTCCCAGGATGCAACGTTAGGGGATTATTATTAATCACATGCCTTGATTAGCCTTGGGGAGTGGAATACGCAAACTGGCTGAATAAAAATGATTTTCTTCTTTCTGAAAAAAAGTAAAATTTTTAAAAATTTGATTTAAAATAAATAAAAATTAAAGGTGGGACATGGAGGGGTAGGGAAGTCAGAGACTGGTGGGTAGGAGGTAGGCGGACCATGGGCTTGCAGGGAGGGTCAGGCTAAGGCCAAGTAGATTTGATAGGGTTTCCCCAAGTGCCAAGCCAATGAAGACCCACACTTCACATGCAGGAAAGGCTGTCAAATGGGACACATGCTACATGCTAAATGTCCCGGGAGCTCATCTATTTTCTTCACCTCTCCCTAAAAATCCATTTACCCAGAATTTGAGATAACGAGGAACAGCCAATCCACCAGACAATTCCTGAATGTGCAAGTTGCCACCGGTAATGAAGTTCATGAAAAACCTCAGCCGGAGAGCATTTCATTAACATCTGTCACAACCGATCAGCTCAGCCTCTGCACACATTCTGTACTGCAGTGTTGTATCAGGAAGGGAAGGAAACCGTCCCTTTCTCCTTCCCCATCTTCTGTGACGTACAGGCACTGCCATCATGTGGCTGTAGAGAGCACAGCCTAGCCATTCTGGGCGAATTCTACAAGACTCTAGAAAGACTGAAGTTGAGTAGAATAAGAAACGTAAAGACAATTATCAAGTGAAACAAAAGACATCTCCAGGCAGCTCTCAATTTAAGACCTTTGCTTATTCGGCAGCTGTCTGGAACTCAAGACACATTTTTCGTCAAAAGATCCTGTAAGTGGTGATGAGTTCCCCGAGGTGCCCCTAAATACTCCCCAACTCCACATCCGCGAAGGAGAAGGGAGAGGGCTCCAGAGACAGTCCACTGTCATTTATCAAACTTTCTTGAGCATCTCCTAAGTGCCTGGCCCTATGCCGGGTGGCAGAAATACAGCGAACCTTAGAACGTGATCTCTGCCCTGTGGGAGGTCACAGGCCAGTGGGAGACACAGACACACAAGTCCAAGCTTCCTCGTGGGTTAATGTTTTTAGGAGTTAAAATAACCCCGGGCACAAGCACAATATAAAAGCTGTAAAAGAACCCAGTGCACAGCCTTCACTCGGTAATACTGTTTTTTTACACCAAACTATTATTAAGGTAAAATTTATACGCAGTGACATGCAGAGTTTAAATGTACAACTCAGTGGGTTTTTGGCAAATGTATACATCCCCGTGACCTCCCTCAGTCAAGAATATTCACAGCATTTCCAGAAAGTTCCCTGTTCCCCTTCCATTTAATCCACAAAATAAAGATAGTTCTACAGGGACCCAAAATGATACCATCCAAGAAAACACCTTTCTGATTCAGGAGACTTGATCACAGGATAAATTTCAAGAGAAACAAGAAAAACTGTACATCTTTGTATAAAGAACATTAACTACTGATCTAATAATCATTGGAGCTATTACCTTAGAAGAGTCTCCATTTTTCAACAAATGACTCCACGTACCTGGTCCTGTGCTTTGCACAGAACAGCAAGGTGAACACGTTGGCTCCATGCTCAAGAAGCTAGCTCACTTCTAGCAGGGGAAAGGACAAGGAACTCAGAGTCTTCTCAAAAGAGCAAATTCTTTCCGTGGGGCATTCCTGGCAGAGGGTGGAATGGGGTGGGGGATGAGTCACTCATAAATCTCCTATTTAAACATATTCACTGCACTTTGTAAAAACGTCCCTTCTGGATCTCACCTTTGCAACAGTCCTGTGACGAGGTGGGTACCACCATTCCCCTTTTAGAGCTATGAAAACTGAGGCTGGGAGAGGCTGTCCTGAGGTCACACACTGGTAAGTTGCAAAGGGAGGCCTTCAGCCCCCCAGAAGTGCTTATGCAAGCGGGGGCCAGCCGAGTGGCAGGAATCACCGGGGTGCTCCCCCCAGGAGCCCAGACACTAGCCCCTGTGTGAATATTATGCCTGGCTGACAGGTCCGGGGTCACCAGCGCCCTGGACAATCCACTCCCTCCTGGGAGGCGAATCTCGGGCCCCAACTGCGCTGTCCCCTCAGGAGCGTGTCTTTCCTGAATCCCCTGTGTGAGGGTCTCTGGCCCCACCCCCACAGAAGGGCCGTTCTAATTGCCTCTCTTGTGTTTTAGCATCCTGCTTCCTGCTCCTTCCTGCACCATGAAAATCCTGTTCTGTGACCTCCTGCTGCTCAGCCTCTTCTCCAGCGCCTCCAGCAGCTGTCAGAGGGACTGTCTGGCCTGCAGGGAGAAGCTCCGCCCGGCTCTTGACAGCTTCAACCTTGAGGTAGGTCCAGGGGCGACCCTGTCTTCCCCTCCCTCCCCCAGAGCAGACCCAAGGTGAGAAACTGAAGCTACCCCCAGAGGGTCACGTGACCCTCCCAGTATCAGGAAACAGCTGTGGACTAGAGCAAACCCTGTCATCTTTCCGCTGGACCACGTTCAAATAAGACCCACTCATGCTGCCATCTTGTTCCCATTATTTAAATAATACATACACATTGTAGGGAATTTGGCAAATTCAGAGAACCATAAAAAAAGACAATTAAACACACCTTTAATCCCACCAGTCAGAGAAAAAAAATCCTAGTTTTTTCACTTGCTCTATGACACCAGGATAAATATCCCGTTTTTAAGTTCCTTTGTTGAACCGCTCCCCTCTTGTTGAACCGGTTTTGATATAGTAGACAATTCTACAATGAACACCTATATGCTCCTCTGTAACTTAAATTTCAACTTGAGCACTACATTTCTTTCCATTAAATATGCTGCTCTCTTAGCTGCTTCCAATAGTCTAAAGAGTTACTCATCTCCTATTAAACCCAGTAGAACTCAACTATTTTTCTTTGTAGTCAAGCAAACTTCTTTCAAAAGATGTCATGTTTGAAACTCCTCACCCTTGAAAAACAACGTTTTGTCTACTTTTCCTTAAGGCAAATGTACAAATATAGAAACCAAGTGCTCAGGGTGGGCTGACGCACTAAGGTGAGCGGACACAGCCCCCAGCCCACCCAATCACCTGGCTCCTCCCACGCCAGCTCAGTGCTTTTCAAGCCTGTTTTCTGAACAGTGATGACTACAGTGATGACTACCACATCCCGAAGAGCCCCAGAGAAGCCATTCAAAGTTCACCCCTCATTCAGCCATCACGGTTTTTTCCGAGCATCTACTTATGCGCTGAGCACTGGGTTATGCAAGGATCCCGAAGTTGAGCAGATGGATGGGGTTTGCAACTGGTGGGAGAGAAGACCCCACAATGCCTCCATAAGAGCCATTACTGGGCACCCGGGGGGCACAGAGCAGTGGACCCCAAGCTAGTCTAGAGGGGCAGAGGGGGCTGTTGGAGGAACTGAAGTCTCTAAGGAAACCTGAAGATGAGTGGGAGTGAGGAGACAGGGAGCCCCCGGTGCCCAGGGGCCCGCATGGCAGAGGGAGGCGTGGGGGCCCGTGTGCAGTGCCTGCTGGGGGCAGGGGACCGGCATTTAAGGAACTGAGAAAAGCTGAGTTTGCTAGAACACAGAAGGCTCACGTGCCTTTTCTGTGCAGCCCAAAGAGGCTTCAAAGTTCACCCCAAAAAATGCTTTCCCTTCGTCTTAGTAAACAGAGCAGACAGCTTGTTGACACATAAACCAGAGAAGTAGTTCATTAAGCAATAATCTCATAACAACCACGCTGTGAAGGTTCTGAGGTCACAGCCTGGACAAAACTGAGAGTCGTGCACAGTTTCTGAGTCACCAGCTTTCATTGCAACCCTTTCCCTCCCACTCAGAAAGGCACTGGGACCTGAACACACATCTGTACTCTCGTGTTCATAGCAGCATCATTCACAGCAGTCAAAAGGTGGAAAAGGCCCAAGTGACCATCACAAGACGACTGAATAAACAAAATGTGGCATGTACAGACAATGGGATATTATTCAGCTTTAAAAAGGAAGGGGATCTGGGGTGTAGAGGGGAGGGTATAGCTCAGTGGTGGAGTGTGTGCTTAGCATGCATGAGATCCAGATTCAATCCCCAGTGCCTCCATTAAAATAAACAAACCTAATTACCTTCCCCCACCAAAAAAAAAAAAAATTAAATTAAAGTGGTGTATTTTTAAAAAGGAAAAAAACTAGACATTAAACAAATAAAATTAAATTTAAAGAAAAAAAAAGGAAAGGAATCAAAACACAGGCTCCAGCTGGAGGAACCCTGAAGACATGTGCTGAGTGAAATAAGACAGACACTAAAGGACAAATACTGTATGATTCCACTTACGTGAGGTTCCTAGAGTAGTCTGGTTGGTCTGAACAGAAAATCGGGTGGAGTTTGCCAGGCGCTGCAGGGAGGGGAAAGGGGAGTTAGTGCTTCATGGGTACAAAGTTTCAGTTTGCAAAAATGAGAAAGCTCTGGAGCTGGATGCCGGTGGTGGTTGCACAACCAGGTGAATGTACTTAATACCACTGAACTACACACTTAAAAACAGTTCAGACGGTAAATTTGGTGGTACATGTATTTCACAATAGAAAATAGCGTTAAGAACTCAACTGCAAGGCTAACCCTGAGTCTGCTCTTTTGTTAACAAAGAAGCATTCACAGATGTGGGTGACTTGTTTGTAACACATCACACCTGACCGTGAGGCACCATGACTCCCCCTCCCCCACCCCCGGGACACCACGACCTTGAGGGCCCTGTTCTGAGACTACACCACCACCACATGCAGATTCTCTCCAGCCTCCTGACTGCCATCTCGGGATCTGTCCTCACTCTCCACTGTCCCACTGCCCCTTCTTCCTCCTCCTCCTTTGTACCATTGACTTCCATGCTGGGCAGTTTCCTTCCTTCTTCCCCTCTCCCTCTTGCTCTTTCCTTCCCTCCATTCTCATGTTTTTTGAAAGAGCAAAGACACATGTGACTTTGACCCCCTTGCCGCTTTCGGAGTCACCAGCAGCTCATAACCACAGAACCCCCGGCCAATTTGCAGTCCTCTCCTTGTCCTCCTTTGGTGAGCCCGGCTCTCTTCCCCACTCCGACTCTTCTTTTTCTGCTTCCTAATGGGATCCCGTTACTCTTTCTCCTCCCTAAACACAGGTGATCCCCAAGATGCTCTGCTTCTTACCTCCACGTCCTCTGTCCTTCTGAGAGGCCATCACCACATCCCAGGCTGTCCGCTCTCCCCAGGCGGCAGGTGACTCCAAGGGTACCCTTCTCACCTCCTCTCTGCTGGGCTCCAGTCACTCTCCACAGTTCCTGGGAAATCCAGCTTTCCCTTCCTGGCCTTCCCATGGCTCCAGGAACTTGTCTGGTCATCTTACGCATGCCTCCCGCCACCCTGAGCTGATAAATCCTACTCAATCTTTGAAACCCAGATTAAGTTTCACCTTTTAGGGGAGAACGCTTCGCTAATTCTCCACCTGCCCCCAACTGAGCCAGCCCCTGGCTCCTTTGTTCTCTGACAATTACTTGCACCTGCTGGTCTATCTCTCACCACAAGATCTGCGCTTTCTTTTCTGATCAGTTTGGGTAACCCCAGCATGTGGCACAGTGTGGCGCAGAGCAGTACTTATAAACCTGTCCCATGGTAACTGTAAAATTGCAAGATGTTCAGTGTCCTCAGAGGTACATCCACTCTAGACAATGTGGAGCTTTCACATTGGTGTCTATCAAAGCCAGAAAAGAATTTGGAGCATGTTTCTATTTCTCCGTAGCATCTTAAATCTCTGGGGTCCCAACAACACTATTAGAAAATAGCTGGTTCTAGCCTCCCAGGGAGGGTGACCCCTGTAGTGCCTGCCGGCCTCCCAGGGAGGGGTGACCCCTGCAGTGCCTACTGACCCCCCCGAGGACCTGGCTGCCTGGTTGTTTGGTTTCTAGCTTGTATGCACTTTGAACCTATTTTTTAAAGTTTTATGAAATGCCTAGAATTTAGGCAATTATATCTTATTTATTTCCAAATCACGCAAACCTTGAGTATGTCCACACTGTGAATGATGGGGGAGACTCAGATATTTCAGCAAGGGTCACCTTGTTACCGGAGGCAAGTTCGTGTGCCCGTCGCACCAAGAGGCCAAACTGAAACGTGAGTTTGGAGCGGAGAAAGGTTTACTGCAGGGTCAAGCAAGGAGGATGGGGTGGTTCATGCCCCAAAAAATCCCTGAACTCTTTGAAGGGTTTCAGCAAAGCATATTTAAAAGCCAGGTGAGGGAGCGGGGTCGCAGGGTACGTGATCAGCTCGTGCACAATTCTCTGATCGGTTGATACTGATGTAACAGGGCGGTCAACACTATCAACCCTTAGGCGCCAGAAGGTCGGGGCCACATGCTCTCCATCATCAGGGAGTTCATTTCTTCCCATTGGTGGTGATTTTAAGCATCTGAAAAACTCTGGAAATATACATGAGATACTATTATCTGGTACTTCAGAGAAGAGCTATAGCAGAGGATATGGGGGAGGGGTCTGACCCTGGAAGGCCCCCCAGGGTCCTGATCAGTTATAACCTCCCCAACCCCTCCACCAAGTTATGTAATCCTGAGCAGCTCCCAGGACCCTCCGGACCGTTGGCCTCATCCAGAATTTCTTTATTTCTCTCTCCAGGTTGATGGTCCAAGGATGGCTGGCTTTTTTTTTTTTTTTTAGGCTTTTTTTTTATTTTGGTGGATGAATGACTCATACACCCCAAACCACTGCAGTGCAGTGACCGGGGCTTTCAGCTAATTGTGAGTGATACCTACCCCATCAGCTTAAGTAGAAAAAACTAGATCCACTGAGTTGTTTTTAGAGACAAAGAAGGGGGTAACTACCAAGGAAGTCCTGGGGAAATTTATCCAAAACTCTATTAACAGCGGAAGAAACCAACTGCCTTCTGGTAGCCTTTCTGGCTTCTTTACACGACAGCTCTTAGTTGTTGACTTGCAGTGGGAGTTTCTTACATGTTTTTCTTTCGAAATACTCATCTGCTGGCCTGCCAGTGTTGGCCCTCAGACATTCTGGCAGAATCTTCTAAAGCAAATAGATCCCAAATGTCTCTTGGTCAGAAATGGTTCGATTCCTTAATGGCAGAAACTGACAGTCTCAATGAGCTGCTTCTTTTCCTTCCAATCGGCTCATGGGCTTGTTTCCCTAATTTTTTTTTTTACTTTTTTTTTAATGGAGATACTGGGAATTGAACCCAGGACCTTGTGCATGTTAAGCACATGCTCTGCCACTTAGCTATACCCTCACCCCCCACCATATTTCCCTAACCTTTGGTCCCAGACAACCAAATAGCCCTTTGCTCAGTTACCCCACAAGTCCAGCTTTACAGATCAA